GCAAAAACTCGAAACAAACAAAATACCTATTAACAGGGAAATGGCTAAAGAAAGATGGATCCATGCAATGGAACATTAAACAATCATTTTAAAAGCTTATGTAGGTAGATTAATATTAAAATCCTTATAATTGTAAACAAAAAACAAGTACTGTAAAGTATGTTTTTGTCAGTGTGGGTAGACAGGGAAAAAAATAGCAAAATTCACCAAATATATTTTGCTGAATTTTCTAAAATGTTTTATAAGATTTTTATTCTATCAGAACAAGCAATAACAGTGTTTCCCTTTGGGAAACCTAACCATCAGAGGTCCCTTTCTTCGGGAAGCTTCCCCTCATCCTCCTTCCCCCATTCCCAAGATTAGACTTCTCACTGTGAGGTCACTGATAGGGGACTGTGTCCCCAGTTGGCTAACAAGTTCTGTAAGGGCCCATTATGGTTGATTTGTCTCGGATCCACAGAGCTTGGCACATACTAGATGCTCAACAAATGCTGTTACATAAACGAACGAATGAATGAATGAATGACTCCTACTTTCATGTTTCTGTGAAAGATCAGTGAACTGAATGAAACCGAACCAAATGGAAGCTCCTAGGTCTGATCCTACCCGCCTCCTCCCCAACCCATGGAAGGTGAGGAGAAAAAAACCTGAGAGTGGGAGTTGGATCTGGATTTCTGTCTTTTTCGAAGTTCGGCAGCACTCTGGCCCCAGGCAAGTTGTGTCGCCTTGCTAAACTTTGGCTACCTTGTGTCTGAAACGTGGACCATCGCATCTTCCCCCATGGACTGCGTGGCAAGCAAGACAGCACACACCAAGTGTTTAGCGGAGTGGCTGTACTCAGTAGGCGCTCACAAATAGAAACAAATAATGGGGCGGTGAACACCACTCTCCACGCGTTTGTCTCAGGCTTAGATGCTCCCAACCAGAAAATCCTGAGGAGCCTGGCGACACTGGGCAGACGCCTCCCTTTCGCCTGCCCCGCAGACGCGAGGGCTTGATCCAAAGGAGGGCTGCAGCCGCTGGGGCTCCGCCTCGGGGCCTCCTGCCGCTCACTCAGAGCCAGTGCCCTCTCTCCTCCACCTTCAGTTGGCTGTCCGGCCCGGCCTTTAGGTCCAGGGCCCGGGAAGAAGCTGAGCACCAGCGGGTTCCCGGCCAACGGGTGTGGAGGGGTGCCTTGACCCGGCGTTGGATGAGGGTACTCCCGGGTTTGATTTTTGCTCTGTTACGCACTAATTGTGATATGTGGAACAAGTCATCTCACCGCTCCAAGTCTCTCACCTGACAAGTGGAATAATCGGACCTGCCTCGCAGAGAGTGGTGCGACTTCAGTAAGCAACTGTAGAGAAATTGCTGGGCGCCTGGCCCTTAGCTGGAACAGCGCCTGAGAAACCCGGCGCCACCATAGGAGTTCTTTCTGGCTCCGAAATTATGCCCGGTCCCCGGTCCTGGCATAGATCCGTGGCTATGACCATGGAAAATGACCATTTTAGCGGTGTCAGAGGACGGGACAGGAAACCAAGCTGCGCGTCTCCCTGTTCACAGAGGGTGTGCGCGGCTGAGGGTCTTAATCAGCGTGACTCATGAGTTGATCTGGAGGAAAATATCGCTACGTGTCTGTGTGTACACGTGCTTGTGTCCACACGTGCTTGTGTCCACATAGGAACAGGAGAGTGTGGTTTGCGGGAAAACGCGTGTCAGGCAACCCGTGGAGACTCCTTCTCCCAAAGGCACGTCCCCCCTTTCTTCTGCGCCCCATTCCCGGGCGGAGAGTATCAGCCAAACTAACGGAATCCGGCACAGCCAGGGAAGGGGTGGGTGCGGGAGGGGCCATTCCGTCCCGGAGCCACCGGTTTGGGGATAATTACTTTTAATGTCAGAAAGATTTAGTTTAATATCATCTCTATTAGGCTGCCGGGAGGGTAATTAAACGGGACGCGTCGCAGCCGGCAAACAGATGGCGTCTGCTTGCTCCGAGGCCGCGGGCAAACAGCGCAAAAGTCAGTGCCTCCCGGGTCCCCCATCGGCGCCCCTGGCTCTTCTACTCAGAGTTACACTACTCACCCTCGGCGCCCTTCCCCACGCCGCGGCTACAGCCGGCTCTACGCCCTAGGCCCTCAACCCCGGCCTCACCCCAGCGCAGTCCCTTTGGACGCCACCAGTGCCTGGGCGTGGGCGTGGGGGATGGCGCCAGGGGCGAATAGGGATGGGGTGGATTTTCTTGGCCGGGCCCTCTCACCCGGACCCCCAGCCCCTGGCACAGCAGAGGCGTCAGCAAATGATTCTGAGCTAAGAGTACGCGTATGAATGTGTGAGGAAGACCCTCTGCTCTCAGCCGCCTCATTTGTCCCGGAAGGCTGTGGCTTTTTCTGCCTGGGGCCCAACTGTAGAAGTAAGGCTGGGGCTCCGCGCATAAACCAGGGCATACGTGCGTGAGGATGTGCTCCTGTCGGCGTGTGCTGTCACCGATGTGGAAATCTGTGGGAGTCTGGGAACGTCACACACCGAGTGGATGTCCCAGGATGGGGACATGCTTATGAGAACACTGAGGTCAAATTCACTGAAGGGGTCCCCTTGGGTTGGAGGGTAGTATCAGAGTTGAGCCTGGGCCCCGTGGTGCTCTCTGAATGCTGGCGTGACAGTGTGTCCCATACTTTGCAGAGAGTGGTCACACGCAAAGTATGTGACGGGGGAGGGGGTGTGTCCAAGTGTGAAGCTACACTCAGGCTGGGGAGTGGGTAGACCCTGCTGACTCAACCTGAGCGTGCTCTTCTCGTGTTGACGGCTCAGTTCGGCCATGCCTTTCCTTTCCCCTTCGACCGACCAAATCCAAATCAGGAGGAACTGGCCCTGGAGTGGCCTGGGAAGCTGGGCAGAGGATTCCTGCCTGGTCAAAGGGTGGGTGAGATGACCTGGGGTTTATTTTGCCTCCCTCCATAACACATTCACTCACATAAAAACCCTAACCTCCGGGGAGTGGGAGAAAAGGCTGTGGGTCCCAGACCTGTGGAGATGTGAATGCCAGGAAAGAGGGGCGAGAGAAGAGAGAGGTTCCTCCACTAGGGGTGGGCGGATTCCCTCTGGTTGGGCTGTGTTAGATGCCAGGATGCTCCTCCTCCCACTCCTTAGAAAATGAAGTTCCTCACGCATCTGTGGGGCCGCCTAGGGTTCCCGAGTCCTCGTGGTTCCACCCTTGGCTTCTGAGGAATCCCCCGTCCGGAGTGGGGAAATCTCACGGTGACCTGGCCTCAAGCGCGAAGGATACCTGGGCCACCGCCCCCCCGAAAAGCTAGGCAGATTTATATAGTTTATTTCGTTTTCGGTTTAATATAATTTCCCGAAAACTTTGTCCAAAGGAGCTCTGGGAGAAGGCACCTGACTGCCCCGGCGCGGAATCCGGCGGTGGTCGGCGCTCTTCCCCCAACCTCATGGCTCTCCTCCCCAGGTGCAGCCGGGGCTACTAGACGTACTTGGCCTCGGAACCTCCAGGTGTTGGAAGGTGGGGTCTGGGTCCTGCGCTCCTAGAGGACATATTATCCCTGAAGCACCCCCTTATCCTCGCTTCACGCGGGAGACCCTCGCGGGGGCTGACACCCTTCTCTCTCCTAAACCCATTCACAGACTCCAGCAAGTGGCATTTTCTGGGAGCTAGTGACCAGGTTTTTATCGCTATCACAGACCTTGTTCGTGTCAGAGCGCCCTCGCGCCGGGGCCTGGTGAACTTTCTGGAAGCTCTCCGCCCGGTCCTCCAGCGCATAACCCCCATCCCCTTTTCCCTCCAGCCTCAGCCTCCGGGTGGGCTTCTTCCAAGGCTCTCCCGGGGCGCCAGGTTCTGCGGTCTTCGGGTGGGGGCCCGTTGGTCGCACCTTCTTTCCCCCACCCCCACCCCTGGGCTCAGAAGCGGATAGACTGACAGGGCGCGGCCCAGTAGTCGTGCCAGGCGGGAGGGCTGCGTCCTGAGGCCGCGACGGCCCCGGCCGAATCTACGCGTCCAGATTCCCGCCGGCCTGGAGGTTCGAAAGAGCAACGCGGAGACGCACGGTCAAGAGTGGACGGAGAACGCCAGGAACGCTCATTTTCCTCATTATTTAAACGAATTTTCTTTACTCTGAAGGAGAGAGAGAAAAGTAGAGAACAAAAAGGAGAGTGATAGAACATTAGATATTAGAGGGAAAAACAGAATGAAAAGACAGAGATAGAGCTACAGGAACCGAGGGCGACCCGCCCGAGGGCCGCGGCATTAATTCCAGATGTTGCCTTTCAAAAAGGAAACAAAATCTGAAAACTGTTACCTCTTCTTCAGAATGAGCTGTTCCTCAGGGCCGTGACATCAGGACAGGATGAGAATAAGGCGAAAGTTAAAACTGAAAACTGTCCGCGGGTGCCTCCCAGCAGTCACTTTGTCTCTTGCGGGGAAGGTCGGACAGACCGATGCGCGTCCTGAGTCTAAGAGAAGCTGCGGAGACACAGAGGCCACTTTTTACTTTCGTTTAGAAAAGAAACAAAAAAAGGAGGGGGGCTGTTTGTTCATTTACAATAAAGACAAAAGAATCCCATCACCAAGGAAAAGAAATCGAGATGCTGAAAAATGAGGAAAAGAAAGAGCAAAAGGGGCCGAGGGACGCGAAAGAGGGGCAGGGAGAGGAAAGGCTCAGGGCGCGATGGATGCGGATGCGGCGGGCACCGACAGGAAGCGCAATCTCGTTTCTCTTAGCTGAGCTTCTCTTTAAACACGAAAATCTTCATAAACCACACTTACCCTCCAGGATGACTATCGTATCAGGACTTTTAAAACAAAATAACTGAACTTTAAAGGTGACAGGAGGAAAAAACCAAAGCAGCCCTCAACTACCCCAAACTCGTCCGACTTGGGAGCGCGCCGAAACGTAGCAGGAAGAAGGCAGGAAAAATCGTCCTGGCATTTATGCCTTGAACACCCTCCCTTCTCCACCCCCGCACCCCTGTCCCGCCCCCACCCCGACCGCAGTAATTGAATTGTCACCTGCCCCCCATCCCGCCCCAGGGCTCCAGGGCCACTTGGGAAGCTCAGCTTTGCCAAGCGCCCCCGGCCAGTGAGAGCGGCGCAGCCGAGTCGGCGCCCCAGAAGCCGAGGGGTTACACAAGTCTACGCAGAGAGGCGCACCGGACACGGTAATTAGGAGCAATTCACACGCTCTCGGGCGCACGGAAACTACTTGTCACGAAAGTTTCAACGCTCCTCCTCGCCCACTTTTTTCCACTCCTTTCCTGGCGCGCCCCCTCCCCTCCCAGAGCACACAGAGGAGCTTTTGGAGTTTCGAATCTTTCGGACACTGTAGAATGCGGGGCTCCCCGGGCGCGGGCCCGGCCAATCAGAGTGCCGTCTGCCTCCCCTGGCCAATGGCAGGCGCCACATTGTTGTCCAATTCTGTCTAATGGAGCCCTAAGGAGCAACAATAGAGCGGGCGAGCCTCTCATTGAGAGTCTGGCAGTGCGGGGCAACTGGGCCCCGGCTGCGCGCAGCGTCCAGCGCGCTCAGCGAGGGGACCCGGCACTGCGAGAGTCAGGTTGCGGGTTCCAACCAGGCGGCCGGCAGAGGAGCCTCCGACCCGGATCTCTGAAGGAAGGGTTGGACTGCGCTACGTTCTGAGGGGTCCGGAAGTTCGGACATGGTGACTGAAGGAGGGTGACGTGGTCAGATAAGGGGCCGGGGGCAAAGGGAAGAGGCCAAGAGCGCCAGCGTCGCCAGTGGAGCCGGGAGGCGCGTGCAGCGCCAGCGGAGGAGGATCCCGGAACCCAAGGCAGGTAGTTGAGAGCCGCACGGCAGCAGGGGGTGGCGACCTGGTCTGCGGCCCCTGTTGAGGAGGCCTGGGCCCCGTGGGCTTAGGGACGGCGCGGCCCGAGGGGTCTGGGAGAGGAGGCAACGCTCATAGAGAGGAGGTCTGGGACTCTCGAATGGAGACACAAGGACTCTGTCCCGGGCTCTGGCAGGGACGGGGAACACGGGAAGCAGAGGAGACTGCGGCAGAAGCGGGGAGCTGGGCCTGCTTGGGCCTTGTGGGGCTGCGGCGCGGGTGGGACTCTGGTGTCCGTTTATGGCCAGTTGCGAAGGCGACTTCCCTGGCTTGGTGCGGCCCGCTGGGCCATCCGCGTCCTAGGACCCCAACTCTGAGATCAGGACGCAGGAGCCTGCGCTCGATCGGGGTCCCCTGGGACCCCAAGACGGGGAGGGCGTGTCTGACGACTTTGTCCCTAAACCCGGAGGGGAGGGGAGGGCAGTGTGAGGTGGTGTTCGAGAAAGATCCCCCTCCCGAAATGCCTAACTTTCCGCAGGATACGTCTTCCGCCCCGACTACTACTCCAGACTGCGAAGCTAAAAAATTGCACCGCAGGTTTTACCCAATCCCCTCCCCCAGCCTTTGCCTGTGGAGTTTTTTACTTACACATTCCCCTCTCCTGGGCGGGGACCCTGGATCCCGGACACCCAGATCAGCTGCTTTTCGCTGTTTTCCTTGCCCATGAAGCTCATCTTTGGGCTGGGTTTGCCTATACAGAAAGTTTCTTTGGCCGAATTTTTCTCTTTAATACTTCCCAGTCCTAAACTAAACTCCACACACATTTTCTCTCCCCCTCTCTGGAGGCCCGCACCGTGGAACTTTTGGGGCTCACATTTTTACCGGTCCCAGAGCCACTGGGCCTAACTTTGCCCGAATTGTTTCTTCGCCCCCACTCTACTTCCTAAAGCTATTCTTTCTGTTGCTGATTTTTCTCTCCAAAGCTTCTGCCCTCACCTGCATTAAAAATAAACAAACAAAACTCGGGCCCAACCAGCTCAACTCTGCTCCTTCACATCTCTCTCCTCTTCACCCTTCCGCCAGACTGGCCGTTTTGCTCCGGATTTTCCTGTTTTGCCCTTGGCATCGGCCTAAGTTCTGGGCCAAAACTGTGGCTCTAATCCCAGTCCTGTCAAACGAACATTTTTCTCACCCGTCTCACCTCAATTAGGCTAAGCTTTGGGGTATCATCTTAACTTTTCCAAATCCTCATTACAACCACCTGAATCAGTGACTTTCACACTTTACATGTCTCTTTATTTTTTCCAGCAGAATTACTGATTCAGACAAAATCTTAACCCCAGCGTGTAAATCAGGTCTAAGAGCAGCAGTGGCTGGACTGGGGTGAAGGCGCTAGGGCTCACAAGGAGGTTCCTACTGTACCTCCTCCCAGCAATTCTGGCCCCGCTAGCCCAGCCTCCGTGGCCCAAATATCCCTCTCCAACTTGGGTTCCTCAAGGCTGCGCTTTGGCCTAGTGCGCGGTGTGCTCCTCACCCGGTCTCTCCCCTCTCCCACCTTCTTTCCGGTCAGGTCCTGTCATGGAGCTGCGCTCGGAGCTGCCCAGCGTGCCCGGCGCGGCGACGGCAGCGGCGGCTACAGCGACTGGGCCGCCCGTGGCGTCGGTGGCGTCGGTGGCGGCCGCCGCGGCAGCCGCCGCATCGCTACCGGTAAGCGTGGCAGGCGGCTTGCTGCGGGGGCCGCCACTGTTGCTGCGGGCAGCCGAGAAGTACCCGCGGACCCCCAAGTGCGCGCGCTGTCGCAACCATGGCGTGGTGTCTGCACTCAAGGGCCACAAACGCTACTGTCGCTGGAAGGACTGCCTGTGCGCCAAGTGCACGCTCATCGCGGAGCGCCAGCGTGTCATGGCGGCGCAGGTGGCGCTGCGCAGGCAGCAGGCGCAGGAGGAGAACGAGGCGCGCGAGCTGCAGCTGCTCTACGGTACTGCCGAGGGGCTGGCGCTGGCCGCAGCCAACGGCATCATCCCCCCGAGGCCCGCCTACGAGGTCTTCGGTTCAGTGTGCGCCGCCGACGGCGGGGGACCCGGAGCGGGAGCGCCTGCGGGGACCGGAGGTGGAGCAGCTGGCGCAGGCGGTTCAGGTGAGAGCGCGGCCAGGCCGCAGGTAGGGGCAGCAGGATCGTAGCTCTGGGGCGCCTGGCCCAGGGGCTTGTCTCCGTTCAGAAAGAGTAGAAACCCCGTGTCCAGTCGCCCCGACTGCTAGGGTTCACCGCTCGCCCAGCCTCGGGTATGGAGCGTGGATACAGAAACTCTCCTTCCTCCCGCTTCTGTAGCATTTGCACTTTACCCCTTTCTCCTGCAGCCGGCCCAAACGGACACGCTTTAATTTTTTCACTCGCCTCTACCCAAAGGCAGGCAGGTTCCTGCTTCTTTGCTTCGTCTTCTACCCAGGTGGAAACCTGCGCATCTTCCTTCCCTCCGTGCTTCTCCACAGGCCCTCTCCCTTTGCTCCTTCCCAACTCTCTTAAGGAATCCCTCCCCTCTTTTAACTGACACCCGCCCCATTGCTTTCCCTAGGAAGTGAGACGCCCTAGTTTCTTTTCCCCTTCTCGCATTCCTAATGCTCTGGACAACCGCTTGCTGCGCCCTCCCTCCTTCTAGCTTCTGCCGCACCCTCCCTGGTTTCTCAGGTCTTTTTTCCTATATCTTTTCCTCTTCGCTTCCTACACCCTGCCTAGCCCCACCCTCTTTTTCTGGACCCCCGTGGCTTTTTGTGGGGAGGAAAGAAATTAGGCCAGGGCCATTGAGGGAAAGGAAGGATCCGCTCTAAACTTGGGAGGGAAGAACTTCTTAGGTCTCAATTTTGGAAAGGGTGGATTAGAAATAGGGGCTCTACTTCTGCCTGTAGAGAAGGTTGGGACCTCCTAGATAACCAAGGCGCTTTTCCTTACAGGCTGCACTGCCAGGGCAGGCATCTTCTGTACAGTGGGCTCTTCTGTACAGCGTGGTATAGGCAGAAGTTATGTTGTCTCTTGTTTGAACCCTGGACCTGGCCACTTCTCCAGGGCAGGGCAGGCCTGGAAAGGAAGTTAAAGGTGGATGTGTTGGGGCACAGATGTGGGGGAAAGCAGCACTGAACATCGAGTTTACAGGGCACAAGTAGTTGGGGTTCTGAGGAGTACAGAAAGAGAGGGAGCCCTGGGGTCAGGGAAAGAGAGACAAGGCTGTAGGGGCTCAGAGCGGAAGGAATGCTAGAGCAAAAAGAAAGGGGAGCACTGGAGCCTAGTGAATAAGGGCTGTGGGGCTGAGGGAGAGGAAACTGAGATCCAAAGGGCCGAGGTGCTGTGACTGCTGTCTTCTAGCTAACCGCTCCTCACGACACGTTTTCTCCCCTCCCAGAGGCCAAGTTGCAGAAGTTTGACCTGTTTCCCAAAACGCTGCTTCAGGCAGGCCGCCCGGGCAGCCCGCAGCCGCCGCCGGTGAAGCCCTTATCACCCGACGGCGCAGACTCGGGGCCTGGGACGTCGTCCCCAGAGGTGCGGCCCGGCTCAGGCTCGGAGAACGGTGATGGCGAGTCCTTTTCGGGTTCGCCCCTAGCTCGGGCCTCCAAAGAGGCAGGTGGCAGCTGCCCAGGCAGCGCCGGCCCTGGTGGCGGTGGCGGCGAGGAGGACAGCCCGGGCTCCGCTAGCCCTCTGGGCTCTGAGTCCGGTTCAGAGGCTGACAAAGAAGAGGGTGAGGCCGCGCCGGCGCCGGGGCTGGGCGGAGGCTCGGGTCCACGGCAGCGGACGCCGCTGGACATCTTGACACGCGTCTTCCCGGGCCACCGGCGAGGCGTCCTGGAGCTGGTGTTGCAGGGCTGCGGCGGCGACGTGGTGCAGGCCATCGAGCAGGTGCTGAACCACCACCGTGGGGGCCTGGCTGCCGGCCTGGGCCCTGCGGCGCCCCCGGATAAGGCCGCCGTGGGTGCTGCAGCAGCTGCAGACGATGCGTGGCCCGGCCGCGTCGACGCCGCCGCCAGCGGGGGTCCTGGGCTGCCCGCTCCGCTGCAGGCCGGGCCCGCCGCACCCCCACACCACAGACCCTTGCTGGCCGGCGCCATGGCGCCTGGAGCGCTGGGATCGCTGAGCAGCCGCTCAGCCTTCTCGCCACTGCAGCCCAACGCCAGTCACTTCGGTGCCGAAGCGGGCGCCTACCCGCTGGGCGCGCCTCTCGGCCTCAGTCCGCTGCGCCTGGCCTATTCCGCGGCGGCAGCGCACAGTCGCGGTTTGGCCTTCATGGCTCCCTACTCCACTGCCGGCCTGGTGCCCACGCTCGGCTTCCGCCCGCCCATGGACTACGCCTTCAGCGATCTCATGCGTGACCGCTCGGCCGCCGCTGCTGCGGCGGTGCACAAGGAGCCAACCTATGGCGGCGGCCTGTACGGGCCTATGGTCAATGGCGCTCCGGAGAAGCAGTAGGGCAAGGGGCCTGGCAGCCGGCCGCTCCCCAAACAGGAATCCCAGCCCTGTCTCCGCGGACCGCCGACCCCTCTTCGCCCAGCGCGCTCTCTGCGCCCTGGCTGGGGTCTTCTCACTCCAAGATGGTTTTTGGGGTTTGTTTAGGAGGGTGGGTGGGGAAGGCTGAGCGAAGGGGGAGCAGCTACAGACAGGTGAAGGTGTTCTCGGAGAGGGTACGCGGCCTGGGTTCTCATTTCCCACCTCTGGATCCCTCTTCCAGCCTCACCCAGCCCGCTTTCCAAAAGGCCGGGAATTCATAAGAATTCAGAGGCTGCGACAGCAGCGCAGGCTCCTGCGGCTCCTTAGCTGTGCTCATCCGGCTCTCAGTGGATGGCAGGATAATCCGAGAGTCTTTTCTGCGTCTCCCCATCCCCCACTTTTTAAAAAAGAATCTAAATATTCGCTCTAACAAATATAAATTTAGGATGTATAAATCTCTTGGCACTGAGTCGAGTCTTTGGGACACACATATATATCGATACAATTGTGGAAAAAAAAAGGAAACAAGTTCTAAGGTGCACTTTCCTAGTTGCGTTATTTGTCGCTCTCTTTGTTGCTTACGCCGTTAAGCATGGGTTTCCTTGGTGCAGTGTGTTTTTATATATGTATAAATCTATATATAATCTATACATATATATATATACAAGCCAGTGTATAATGTTATAAAATGGAATTCTAAGTTATTAATTGTAATCTGTAGGTGACCTCGATATTAACGTGAGAAACATTCAAAAACAAGCAAAAAAAAAGGACAAAATGGAAAAAAAATTAGACTATGCGCTCATTGTACTTATCAGGTTTATAGATTAAATATATTGGAAACTCGGGACGAATCCTGCCCACCTACCCCTCTTGCCTGCGGCTGGTCTGTCCCTAAGGAGCCGTCAAGGTGCGCACTGAAGCAGGAACAGAGCGATGTGTGACTGAGCCAGAACCGCCCGCTCGCGGGCTCATTCTCGCCTCCCGGGACTCGCCAAACGCCCTGACTGAAGGGCCGGCAGCGGAAAACGCTGCTCCGGAGCAGCACTTTGTGCTTTCCTTTGCATAGATATGAGCTAGAAATAAATGTTATTTTCTAAGAAAACGACGCCGAATCCCGTCCCGCTCCTCGAGAAGTAGGGGGTCGGGGGGTCGCGGGAGAAGGTCTTGATTTCCCGCTCAGGCCGCGGCGCTAAGGAGACGCTAGACCGAGGTCCCGTGGGATTTCCGACCCTCGGGGCTACTGGGAGAGGAGGCTTCCTGTGGTACCGGAGGACCTATCCCACCAGAGCGGCGCGGAGCTCACAACTCCCGAAGGGCCCGCGACCGCTGAACAGCGGGAACCCAGTGTGTACCCCAGCCTGGGCACCCAGGCTGCGGAGGGGTCGCCTTGCCAGGGCTCTTAGTTTTTGGATCGCGGGCGGGAGTCGTCACAGGGATCTTGCAAGGCTGGGGGCCCAGTTCCCGCTCTTTCCCGGGTGCGGATTTGGATGTAACTCGGGTCGCACACTGCGCGCTCCCCATCTCAGGTTTGGCACCACAGGCAGCGAAGGCGACGGCTGAGCAGGGTGGCTGCTACCGTTCTCCTGACAAGGGCTACAGCCTGGGAGTTATGGGGTTCTGGGAGGTTGGGGGTGGCATGCTGCCTTCCTTGAAAAAGTGTAATCTGGGAGAGTGGCCGTGAGCACGCGACTTCGAGCCAGACCTCGTCTCTCACCCTTTTCACCTTCCCTCCTCACGCCGAGCTGAGCAAACTAGCCGCTCCTGGGCCGACCCTCTCCTTCAACCTCCAGTCCTTCCCGCTCCCCGCAGGGTGACTCCCCCGCTCCAGGAAAAGAGTGACTCCTCCCCTCGGCTGGGTCCGGCGACATCCCAAGGTAAACTTCTGGGGCCGGCTCGAGTTCCGCCAGGCAGTGAAACTTAATAGCAGGACAAGAAAACGGTTTAATAAAGAAGGGCTTTAATGGGGAACTAATTTGATTGAGTTGCCTAATTCCACTTTAATTGGAAAGGGGGTTTGGCTGTCTGGTGATGAAGTGCGAGCGCGATGAGATGAAAGTGGGGGAGAAGGACCCAGAGAAGAAAGATGCCGGCAAAAGCGATGGAGGAAAAGGGGACAAAAAAGGAGAAAAAAGAGGGAGAGAGGAGAGAGGAGAGGGAAGAGTTAGAAAAGAGGAAGGCGGGAGAAAGCGTGCGGAAGCTTCTGGGAATGTAAACTTTCTTGCCCTTGGCCGCTGCGCCCCCTAAAGCCCCGGTGTGCTCCCCCTACCGCAGGTTTTCGGAGCCTCCCAGCCTCTCTCCGCAGGGCAGTTCTGGCCGCCTCGTCCCGGTCCTCTGCCCCACCGCACCCAAGGTGTTTGTTTCGGGAAGGACCTACGCTGGGTCGAGGCTCCTCTGTTCCTGCGGGTGCTCTGGCCGGACCCGAGGGGGCGGCCTGTGGACCCGCGTTACTCATCATTCCCAAGAACATCTGGAGCGTCACAGACTTCAAGACTAGTATGTTAGTTCATCCTCACAGCAAACCAGGGTGAATCCAGAGAGTTGCTTATTACTGGCCCCATTTTACAGAGGAGCAAACTGAGGGCCATCTGGTCCAGGGAATTGTCCAATTTTCCGGGACCCTAGATCACTTTGCCTCTCCACCGCCCCTGGTGGGTCTCCCTCTCTCATGAAGTGGGATCTGCTGGTCGAGAGTGGGAGGTTTGCGGAAACTCCCCTTCCGTGAACATAGGAGGCCCAAAGAGAAGCAGTGGGCCCCCGAGCGCCCAGGCCTCGGCTCCAGGCTGTCAGCTCCTTCGGGTAGAGCTCAGGAAGGCTTCGTGAGCAGTGGACGTTCTAGGAGTGGGATAGTGGGGCACCCGAAGTCCCCACTTCCCGGCCCGGAGCGTCTGCATGTCCCAAGCCCCACGGTGGAAGCCCAGGTCGGTCAGTCACAGCCCTTGGCGCCTGGGAACGTCCTGCGCCCACGGCGCGCCCCTGACCCGCTGCCATTGCACAGTCAGGAACAGGGAGGCACAGAGACCTACAATGACCGGCCTGGGGTCGCACACTCAGGCCCCAGGGAGCCAGAATCGGAACTCCAGACTCTCTGGCCTGGTGGCAGGGGCAGGGGGGCGAGTGAGTCTCCGCTTCTTGGAGCTTCCGCAGCCGACAGGAGGGGACTGCGGCCTGAGCTTCGCTGGGATTAGCGCTAGGGAGGAATGTGTGGTACTCTGGTCGCGGGCGGCGTTCGCACTCTGGAAAGAGAGGGCAGTGGCGGCAGCGTTACTTCTTTTCCTCCTGGGAGAAGGGGGAAAGGGAATCCCCTTCCTGACCGCTACTGTTCACGTTTGTTCCTGAATGCTTCCCAAAGCAAGCTGGAGCCCACTCGGCCTGGGCACTGGGAGGATGCGAACCCGGGCTGCCGCGGGTAGCTCCGATTGGTGGGGGAGACCGACTCGAAGTAGAAGCCGTCCTTTTCCCTTCCCCGCCGCACCCCTCCTGCACAACAGCAGCAGCAGCAGCGACACACTAGCACCTACTGTATGCCAAGTTCTGTCCCAACCATGTTCCCCAGCAGAATCCTGCTCAGTGGGCAAGGAAGAGCCTAGAGCTGGGGTCCAGGCACAATCGCCGGCTGGGGTTATTCATTCTTGAATTACTTCAGTCAGCAAATATTTGCTAAGTACTCATTGTATGTCAGGCCCAGTCTTAGGACCCTGTGATACACAAGTGCACACAAGGGAGGTCTGGCCGGGGAAGGCCCCTTCCGCAAGGCACTCTGCCTCAGTTAAATGGTGGAATAGTAGGGTCTGTCTCTGTGGGTGCTGTGAGGAGTAAATGAAATAATATCCAAAAGCTCTCAGCTCAGTGCTTGCTCACTAGGTGTTCACTATTACAATTATCATATCCTTTGGCGTGGATGGTGTGGTCTCATTCAACAAAGGAGTCAACAGCTCAGAGAGATCCAGTGACTGGAGCAAATGGGGCTTCTGAGCCCTCTAAAGTGTCACAGATTATGGGAGACATCCCCGCCCAGGGCAAGGGGCCACACAGACAGATGGGAGAGTGTGGTTCTATAAATGCCTCAGAGGAAGTGAGTCCTGAGGGGGTTGGCCAGGGGCAGCACTGTGATCTGTGGTATGAGGTTGGGGAAGCAGTCAGGGGTCCCGCTGGACTAGCAACTGGAAAGGGAGGAGGTGGAGACAGGCTGTTGAGGTCGCACAGAGTCAGTGGTTAGATCATGGAGAACCTTGAGTGCCAGAAACTGGGCCTGGACTTCAGTACTGGGAGCTGTTGACAACAGGACCTGGTAAGATTTGCATCTGGATTTGGTAGATTATTTGGAGACAGCCCAACCTCTCCCTCAGGAGCCATGACAAATAGTAGTGTCAAAAAGGAATCAGTAGAAGTAGGGAGAGGGAGAGAAGAGGGCCCCTGCAAGAACTGCTAGGAGCCAAACAACCCATTGTTGATCCGGTGTTGGGAGTAAGTGAGGAAGAGAGCTGATTCCCATCTGGAGAAGAGACAAGATTGGAGGGCGTGGAGAAGCTTTGTGTTCAACTTCAGAGTTTGAGGGACATGTAGGTCTTCTCAGCATGGACACCAAATTGTAGAAAGAGTCAACTGTTGTCTTGGGAGGAATGAGGTGGCCCAGCTCCCTGGCCCTGAGGACACAGGACTCCATTAGCGGAGGCCATGGGCCTGAGAGAGATGTTGAGACCCTCTCACCATGTCTCTTGGTGCCAAGAGGACTGGCCTCTTAAAATCATTCTCTTAAAATTTTGCACCCTGTTAAGGTCATCGTTCTGAGGCAGACAGCCTGTTCTTGGGTTAATTGTGACACCAAATCTTAAATGTCAGGACTCCCCACCTGTACAAGTCCCTTTCAACCTGTCCCTGCCCTCTGCTCCCTGAAGCTGTAGTTTCAGCTGCTTTTCTCCCCTCTCCCCATCTGTCCATCGCTGCCTCCCTATGCCTCTGCCCTCTGGCCATGCTGTGCTCCTCAGACCTACATAACTGTCCCCAGAAGACACAGGACTCCGTTAGTGGAGGCCATGGCCCTGGGAGAGGTGTTGAGACCCTCTCACCCTGTCTCTTGGTGCCAAGAGTACTGGCCTCTTAACATAACAGACCATGCCTTGCCCATGGAGGTCACCTCTGCCTGGAAAGCTCTTCTCATTTTCCTCTTCTTTAAGGATTCTCCTCACTTTCCCTAGGGTCCAGTCTCACAGGTGGACTTACTGTGAACCAGTGAAGCTTAACCTTCAGGGCTCCACACCTGGCATATTCCTCTCAAGGTTTTGCACTTTGTGCATACAGTCAAGCGACTTCTATCTTAAAACTTCAGGCTCCATTAAAAACTGCATCTGCCCACTGGGCACGGTGGCTCACGCCTGTAATCCCAATACTTTGGGAGGCCAAGGTGGGCAGATCACGAGGTCAGGAGATCAAGACCATCCTGGATAGCACAGTGAAACCCCATCTCTACTAAAACTACAAAAAATTAGCCAGGTGTGGTGGTGGGTGCCTGTAGTCCCAGCTACTCAGGAGGCTGAGGCAGAAGAATGGCGGGAACCCAGGAGATGGGGCTTGCAGTGAGCAGAGATCACACCACTGCACTCCAGCCTGGACAACAGAGCGAGACTCTGTCTCAAAAACAAAAAACAAAAAACAAACAAATAAACAAACAAAACAAAAAAACTGCATCTGCCACTGCCCAGTTTAGCTGCACCCTCATGGCTGCCTGTTCCTGTTAACTACTGTTGCATAACAAATGACCCCAAAATGTAGTGGTTTAAACAATAACCATTTTATTGTATCATTTATGGGTCAGAAATTTGGGCAGAGCTTTTTTTATTGTTGACCAAGATCTCTTGGTGGTATTCGGCTGGTAGATGTGTTGGTCTGGAGATCCCAAGACAGGTTCAGTCACATGTCTGACTCCTTGGTATGAATGGCTGGAAGGCTGGGCTCAGCTGGACAGTTGATTGGAGCACTTCCATCATGGTATCCTCAAGATATCAGACCTCTTACATGTTGACTCAGGGTTCTAAGGCAGATGTCCCAGAGAGCAAAGTGGAAGTTACATGACCTTTTATGACCTAACCTCATAGGTCAGAGGAT